CTGCTCTTGTTCTCGTCCCTCTAAGCTCTTGGTTTCTCCACTGTTGGAACAGAGCCAGGAAGGTTGGAAATGTAGAAGCTTTAAATTCTGAGTGACTGGATTCAGACAGATGGGCAAGATGGATGTCCTTGGCCCTTTTTCAATCGTAGCAGTCAAAAAGAAATGGTGCCTGAAAGAAATATGAGTTTGCAAAATGTGGTATTTCTCTGCAAAAGAAAATCACACACCATCTTGTTTCCTCGGTTCTTGTGAAGCATGCACTAAATCTAAATCTGTGTAAATTCAGATTCACGCACCTGCGTGTGCACGACCTTTTTTGAGCATCATCGCAGCACAGTGATGTCATTTCTCTTGTATCTGCTGATCTTTAGCAGCAAATCTTTTGTCACCTGTCTCCACACACACACACACACACACACCTGTCTCTCAGGGTCGTGAGGATGGATGAGTCATTTCGACAGTGCATTCTTTTAAAGCCCTTGTTTACGACATGGCTGTCTACTTCTCTGCGCCGCTAGAGTGTGTGTGTTTGCTGGTCTTTCTGCATCTGACTCCGTGCAGTCTCTGCATCCAAAAGTTATTTTCCATGTTGCCGCCCCTGCCCAGAGCAGCCCCTGTCCGGAGCAGCCTCTGCCCAGAGCAGCCCCTGCCCGGGGCAGCCCCTGCCCAGAGCAGCCCCTGCCCGGGGCAGCCCCTGCCCAGAGCAGCCCCTGTCCGGAGCAGCCTCTGCCCAGAGCAGCCCCTGCCCGGGGCAGCCCCTGCCCAGAGCAGCCCCTGCCCTGCTGCTCCAATTATCCGTATCCTTGTCTTCAAACCTGTGCATTCACCATTTTCCTTGTGCTTGGTCAACTTTACTTAAACAAACTGAGTCAATATTTAGACTCCTACTTTACTTTCTCCCCATAGAGTATAGTATGACATGTGGTCATTTACGGAAATGAAATTTAAAACACAGTCTTAGTATTAGTATCAAACAGTATTAACATTTATTGAACAGTTAATTGCTGACAGTGCTTTAACCATAGATATTGAATTTGAACAGACTGCAACAACATTATCCTCAATAAAAAAAGAATAGAAGTTTATATTCTTAGTAATATCTTCAAGCAAAATAAGAGTATTGTTGCACAGGCACAGTAGTATATGTCAGTGACTCCCAACAACTGAACGGCTTCGTCTCATTCCAAAACTGATCTAAT